CCACACTTCTGTCACAGTAGTACTGTCACAGTACTGAGATCTGCTTGTCAGATGATAGACGTCGACGCGGGAGCATCTTCGTCCCCCCTCACGCCGCAGGGGGACAATCTCATCAGGCCCTCCTCGGTCCTCGAAAGTACCGCGCGGACCCATCCGGAAGCGACGGAACCTTCCTATAGGAACTTATCTAGTGAACTTGTCGATAGGTGAGGCATAGACCAATGTGGTTGAGTATACCTTCACTCTGGTGACAATATGAAAATTCTGAGGAAATTTTGGAAAACTTTCGTTGGTTTCTGTATATTTCTACTCGTAATCCGTGTGTGAAGTTCTATAGTGCGCCAGGAAACTCCAACACGTATAATCCGACACTGCTGCTGCGACAGTGTATTGGCCAATTGAGAGCCCCCTTCTAAATGCCTTTGTGGTGGTAGGTGTCGCTGTGGTGGTGGTAGCAGCAGCAGTCGACGGAGGCTGGATGAGGCGGGCCTCCTGTGCTTGAACTGTGATGGCTATCTCGACTCACGGCACCCTCCCAAGGCTTACATTGAGGTGGATCTCAACCGAACCATTGATGGACCTAGGATGCTACTAGATAAGCTCTCACAGTAAGTGGTATGATATTAACCGAGGAAACCACTGCACGTTGTTGGTGATATTCAGTACTTCGGCCTCCTCCCCATATCGGCACAGCTACAGCGCGATAGCTCCCACGACCAAGACGACGACGACTGCCCTTATTGTGTGTTTTGATATCGATAAGATAGGAAGGCTCCGACGAGGCGTGAGAGAGCTGGACCTGCGAGTGTCGGGTATTTTCGATGCTGATGTAGTGGAATAGCACTGTTGAATATGACTCAGCATAGCTCTGCCCTTTAGGGTCGACCCATGGCCTCTTCGCGGTGGATGAGCTCGAGTAGTGGAGGTGATGATCAGAGTAGTGAAGAGTCCGAGGGCCCACGGCATCGAAGGGGCAGAGAACTGCAGCCATCCCAGAAGGCGGCTGAAGAGGACATGTCTCCACTGCTACCACCGCCTACTACTACTACTGACCACCTCCCACCCCCAAGGATCATCCCACCTAGTACCGCTACTGCTGCGGAGATGGCCCCTCCTCCCCAGGCCCCACCGCATCCTCCTCCTCCGCCTCTCCCTCAAGCACTGTGGCAGCAGATGCCGGCAGCAGGACCACCCACCTTGATGGCCCCTTGGGGAATGCCTCAGCCTGCACCTGTTGGGTATGGTGGTGCTAGCGGTGGTGGTTGGCCGACGTCTACGACAACGACGACGACAGCGCCACCAACAGCAGCAGCAGTGGACCCTCAATGGTTACAACACTACCAGGCTATGTATCAGGCCAGTGGGGCCCACTTCGATCAACATGCACTGCACCAGCAACAACAACAACAAATAGCTATGCAAATGATGATGATGTCCACAGCAAATGTACAACGCCAACAACAACAACAACCATCGGTAGCCTATAGTGCTGGCATATACCCCTATCCCCAGCAGGCCCCATCGAAGGGTGGCGGACCTGGCCCTATGGGGCAGTCTATGGGAGGGCGATGATGCTCGAAGCAATAGGAGGAGACGACTAAACTCATTATACTCATTTATAATTGCTACATTTCTGTGTACTGATCGTGTGGAGTTGTATCATGCTGGTGATTGTTGTTCTTGTAGTTACTGTTGTTGTTTTCTTGTATGATTCGTGGAGATGCATCTTGTTATGTCTGTGCACTAGAAGGTGTTATCGAGTCCTACTTGAACGAGGCCCAAGGTGAGTCCGTAGACTGCAGTTGTGTCCACCCCTGCTCACTCCAGCAGGTTCGGAGGAGTCTCCGGCAGGGCAGACGGTTGGCCCTCAGTGCACAATGCGGTCCAAGACAAGCACTTCCTGCGACCGGTGTTGTGCGAGGAACACGCCTCAGTGAGTTGCCATTGTGTTGGAGAGAACATTAATTCGGTCAGTGTGAGAGGTCTGGTTCTTATCCGAGGTTTTCGCATTTTTAACCTGTCATTCATTCGGCTGGCCACTTACCACGACTATGCCAGTCTATAAGTACTCCCATTGTGATCAAATCTCTGAAAGAGTCCATAGTCGGATCTTCCTCCCCTCTGATTTGACGCGATGGGATAAGCATTAGTGTACTGCAAAACACAGCATAGTGATAGTTGATCGTCGTGCCCTCCTCGGCAATGCTTCTCCCCGTTTCAGGTTATTTTGCTATAGACTTAACCGTGTCGGGGTGAAACACTTCCCACACGGTGTCTCGTGTCATATTTGTGGGGAAGCTGTTGAGTCGTATGAAGGAGTTGATGGCGAAGGCCGAGGTGGAGGAACTGTGTGTCTTAAATGTCATCAAGTGAGCCGGACCTGGGGATCGAACCTGCGACCATTATATTCTTCCAGACAGCGGTATGCGACAAGGTCGAGTGTCAAACGAAAGCTGGTTATGTACCACAATTACTCTACGAGAGGCCCTCAGCCAAGCCCTTCCTGTGCCTCCACTGCCTTGACCTCACTTTCATGTGCTCCTGCAAAGAGGCCCATACCGTTCAAAGACGACTCATGTAGTCTCTTCGCTCCGCTAGACGAGTGGGATCATTTTCCCTCCTGTTTAGACTGGAACGCCCCTTGAACCTTGACGCCCCCTTCTATTTCATGATGAACACCCACGCTCTTGCTCTTGAACCATGCGAGCACTTTTATGTCAATTCACTGCAGAGTCCGAGACCCCAATTGGTGAATAGCCCCTCCTCGCCGTGTCTACTCTGAATTCTGCTTCCATACAGGTGGCTCTGGCTGGAGACTCTACTGGAGCACCCCAGAGGGTCGTAACTGCCCTACGGCTGCTGGACATTATTGCACATCGTAGCACTGTGAGGCGATGGACCATCAAGGAACATCAGAGCCTGAGGTAGCCGGGCCCTGTAGGATCCCACTTGACGGCATTGACTGCTCTTCAGGCGAGTCTTGGCCAAACTGCAGGAGCCGGTACACCAGCGTGAGAAGTTGAAAGTGAGTTTTATCGCGTCACCACTCTGATATTGAATTCGATCCCTCAGGGCATGCCTCCGGAGACCGAATCGGAAGCACTGTGGCTGCTAGAGGAGAGCGAGATGTGGGGCCTACCAGTACCGATGTGGACTGCACTGTAAGCTCAAGAGGTTACCTCTAGAACAGTAGTGACTTCAGAATGTACCTCTATGAGTGTTCGGTCCATGAGGAATACTTATTATTCCAAGCTGGGAAGAAGGTCCATACGAGGGTATGTCGAGTGCTCCACAAAGAGCTTGTCAATAAGTGGTCAGTGAAGAAGCTGATGGAGAAGGTAAGAGCGATGATGCCCGCCTGCCCAAGCTTAGGGTTCATTCCGCCCTAGCGATGGTTATTATAGACTGGAAACCATACCCACGTTCGATCCCTGCATGTTGCATTTTTTAAGCTTGTAGATTTGGCCATCGTTAGAAGGAGTTGTATTCTTCCGCCCCAGTCAAACCCATAGAGTAAAGCGGAGTGGAGATGAGCACATATTCAAAGCTGGATCGATACGACGTCAGATGGATGTAGGCCCCTAAGGGTCCTCCGTCCCCACCACTTGTCCCCTCAGCGATTCTCTCAAGGCCTGGTCAAGCGCTTGGTGGAGCGAGCGGCTCGTAACGTGTGGGAGTATCGGCGATGGCATTACATCAGAACAATAACGGAGGAGGGTGAGTGAATCATTTGATCCTGGCTTTCCCTACTCGTGCCAGTTCGAAACGCCCGAGGCGCAAGAGTCTTTCGATGTGCTGTTTGCGGCCCCTTCCCTGAGTATTCATCTTGGTCGGAAGTGCAAGACCACGTTTTCTACACTGTACCCGACGCTGCCCATGAGGAACGATGGAATCGTTTCGAGAAGGAAATGATTACTGTGGGAAAACCACCAGATAGCAGTACGGCCCATGCAGCGATGCTTCTTCGTGTCATTCATAGCTCTTTATTGTATTTGTCATTCGCCTCTAAGGTACCATCGCACAGTGGAACTCCAGATTCGACAATACCCGGCCGGGGTGTAAGATCCCTCTCACTAACAAATCACGTCGTTACACATGGGCGGTAACGAGCTGATTATAGTGGATAAATAGGCATGCTCCCTCAGACCCCTCCTTATCAAGCGACCCTTCCCAAAGTGACTATGTGGGATCCGCCCTGTGATACAGCTCCCAGAAGGCAGAAAGCAATTGAGTATACTGCGAAGGCCAATAAGAATACGCATTGGCTCGCCCTGTCCTCGACTGTTACACGGTGAGTTAATACGGTTCGAGTGTTAGGCAATCTGTGATGATTCTAGGGAGAAGGGACGGCAGGACATATGCAATGCGTGGGACCTGAAGAAGGACCGCGAGTCTGAGAATGAAGTTTTACTCGGCTCCTCTCGGTTTACTTCGCACATCTCACCAGCAGTTACGTAAACATTTCAAGAGATATCTCGTCTTGTGTTTACTGAGTATAGTGACTGGAAGACTCGTGCTATCGGGAGCATCTACTACAACGAATTGTTATGAAACATATGGAGCTGATATTCACGCTCATGCTCTCCGATGGCTTGCCGTCATCTACAACTTATCAAGTCCTCGCTCTCTGAAGCACGACTGGGTTTATTCGTTGCATCGATTTGGTCGTGGCTTGATGCTAGTGACAGTCCCCCGAAGCGCTTTCTACTTTCGAACTAGGGATGTATGATTAATCTAATCGGATCGGTTCCTATGCCGTTGAGTCGTATTGGACTTCATCGGGTGACGTGACGCTGTCCAAGAAGCTGAGCGGGCGTCACTGGTGACGGGGAGCATTCCAATGAGAAACGTCACTGCTGCTGCTAGGGTTTCTCATTTCATTTTCCTGCACTATGAACAGGGCGCTCCGCTTCTTGCTCTTTGGTATTCCTCTTGTAGTGGCATCTGATCAGATGTCGATCGATATTGGTGATACTACGGCTACAACAGCCTCTCGTGCACTAGAGCCTTTCACTACTACCACTGCGGTCATCGAGGGCAAGTTTTGTGGGAGTGTATGGTTACAGTCGTTCGTTGTTACTTTGAAGAAGGAGCGTATGGCTCTCGACATACCATCTTATAAAGTTTCCGGTCAATGTGATTATCACGTGACCGGCCCTCACGTTGAAGTCTCTAACTTTGACGATGTCCTCAGAGACTTAATGAATCGCGCTGGGGTAAGCACTTTTGACATAACCATCCTTGACGCGAGCAGACTCCGTATCAATGCTGGAGGTCTCATGAGTACCACAGTCGAACGCTGTTAATTCCCTTTTTTTATTACGGATACTCCTTTGCTCGATCAATCGAACCGTTTCAACTACTATACTGTTGCGTATATAGTAAACCAGTATAAATCAGCTACACGCATGAGCAACGTCAACGAAGCTAGAAATGCACTAGACTCGAGTTCCCGGTGTACATTGAGAGCAATCAACTCAGTGAATAATCAGTAATCAGCTATTTCGACAATACCGGAGACGTGCCAGAGGGAGGGGAAAATCACGCTGCTACACTTCCCCTGTTACGAGCCCCCTCTAAGAGTCGTCCCTCTCCATCACTTCATAGGAGAACTCCACTTCAATTACAATATTCCGTTTAGTGTTTTCATGTAATAGATAATGAAAATTCGTATTTAACCACCTGGTGAATGATATTGCACTATACGAACAGAGAGACGAATACGGGATTGGCAGATTTCATGTTGGAGGAAGTGTGCGTCATACCGTATGGTTCATATCGATTACTGACGGTAGTACGGAGTTGTCATGGTAAGAGGCTCGTGTTTCTCCTCAGATTTGTGATTCTTGTCTTGTTCACAGTTCAACTATCGCGGACGCAGATCTATAGTAGGGTTAGCATTTTATATTCACAATATCGCCATCATAGGATTTATGTAGTTCAGCAACTCGGACAAACACAACATAAGTAGTCTGATGATGATAGCTTAGTAAAGTACAACGACCGAAGCCAAACTCATCTGGTCTTACCATCACTTCTGGGCATTAATCACAAGAAGCTTCAAGACCGAATGAGATACTGTTAGAATATCTGTCCGCTTTCCTCAGCATAGTTCAAGAATTTCCTCCCTTATTATGGGAGTTTTAAACTCCCATAATAAAAATGAAACATTTAACTTATAAACTCAAACTAATAAACATCAAACTCCCATATAAACTCTGAGTTTATATACGAATTAAGATAAAAGTGTTGAAAATCAACAAGAATTCCCCAAATTTTTTCCGAAATTCGGAGCCTGAATTCTCATTTAGTCGCCGACCCATGTAGTTAACCATGTGCATACTTTCCCATACTAGAACGAAGAGCAACTTGTCATGATGGCGAAGCTTTGCACCGGACCGGCTTATCTCGACTACTGAACACATCCCCACAGCGGTGGAGACTGACTAGCCACAATGAGTTAATGTTATTGACAGGAACTGAACTCAAGACGATTGTGATAGTATTAGGATGATGATGATGATGATGAGAAGCAGGAGTATTCCAGTCATCAAGCCTAATGCCACAACAATGCTTGACATATCTCAGAAGAGAGCTATTGATTTCAACAGATAGCCCGAGCTTAGGCCGAAGGAAGCATCTGAGGCTGTCTCTGCTTCCTTATGCTGATGATGACAATAATAAAAACGGTAGTAGTATACAGACCTTGATGATAGACCATATGGTGATGTTGATGATGATGAGCTCCTACTACTTATGCTGCTGCTATTCCGCTATTACTCAATTGAGCTCTGAATGACGCAGCAATTGTACATACATTAGTACATAGATGACGACAACGACAACAACGAAGCTGGGGAGTTATGACAAGTAATACGGTGGAGAAAGGGTTTGCCCGAGGCAGTAGACAGACATGATACATGACAGTCATAAAATATTAGTCGAATACTCAGTTACAATAGGTCTGAGGCAAACGCACGCATCATCAATGCTCATGATGATGATAATCATCATTCTTACCTCAGCTCTCGAAGTTGAACTCCTCATGGTGGTACCTTCCTCATCATCAACGTCGTCGTCAACATCCCTACATAGTCCTATGGCTCCCACTGAGCTCCTTGTGGTCCCAGTAGCAGACGCATTACTCTCCTCTCCAACTGCAGCTGTATTGATGTCATTATGGGCCCCACTATGGCCCGCCCGTCTAGCTGCTATCCACACTGTCGGTACGGAAATACCATACCTTGCCCAAATCACGTCAACAACAACAGCCTATAACAGCAACGTACTTCTGTCCCCACCAGCTGCCACTAATTAGACCATTCCTAGCGAAGCGAAGCGCGGCTGTTACACTCGGCCATCTCCACGCCGACTTACCCAAATTCACATGCTCACCTGATGGTCATTTCACAAGCAGTGTCCATATGTATTACCATTCGGTGAGAGAGGATCCAGTATAACCAGCATGTCCATTTTAAAGGCATCAAAGAGCTCCTCTTCATCTGCAGATTCCCTCGAAGTGAAATTGAAAGTATTATCACTAGAACTGAGTGGACGTATTATAAGCTGAGACGCATCAAACGAAGTGAGGGTCAAACCTGAATACCATACCCCATGCGGATCACAATACCAGTATGAGCTCACCATTGGGTAAAACTATTGTATGATGCTCCTTGACAAGGTCTCGATACACACTATCATGATCGTCCTCAGATGTATCATCAGGCCCACCATACCACATCAAGAAGCCCAATAGGAGCTGACCCAGGGGAGCACCAACCCAGCCATCAGCCGAGTAAAACTGGTTTAGAAATGATACAACCATGAGCACCTATAGAGAGACCTAGGAAGTTCTCCCACCGTGACAGATCGGGGAGTAATTTCGTGGCGCAGTGACAATCTCGGTGTTACTACTTACCAGCGTATAGCTGCTTATGCCACCATTGTAGGGCGATATGAGACCTTCACACAATAGTACGTGTTTCACAAAAAGGACTAATGGCCGCAAACAACCAAAATGCTGGTTCATCATGGCTATGTACGCAGATGTTTCCAGACCTAGATGTAGAAATCGATTTCGACACAAGTCGCAGAATGCAGTCGAACCTGTGTGGTAGGCGCCCGACAGGGATATCTGCACTTGCACCGGTGAATGTAAGGAGCATTGAGCGTTCAATCCCATACTACACGTACCACACCTGTTTGAAATAGGATGATAATAAATGGTAATACCTTATCTCACCATTGTTGGTATAATTGATCGAGACTGGGATCTCGGCACGTTAGTGTAATTAGGGGTATTCGCGACGATGTTATGACCACAGGAGGAGCGACGATGGTACCTGACGTATTAGCCCTCCTATAGCAGCACAGAGTTGATGTTGAACGATTACCTGCAGGGGCGCATTGTGTGAGATATTCCGACACCAACTCCAAAAGTTTCACACACTCTGCTGCTGCTTTAACATGATCATCAATGCTTCCCACAGAGGTACTTTCATCAACAATAACACCACCAGAGCTCTGCGGGCAGTGTACTACTATGCCAACATGAAACATGCCCCAGCAACCGACCTCGCTCTGATATGAATTGGCGTAGTGAGACGCTTCCCCGTGTTGATATTCTCCACCGACACTCACCCAGGGAGTCAATAATCGTCTATATCGAGCCGAGCCGGGCAATAACTAAACCGACTCATCCCCGATCGTCAAGAGCGAACTCAGCCCTACAACAAAATCCAGATCGCTCGCCCATGGTAGATGTAAATTGTAGGTAAACCTATACATTTGGGTAGCGGGCACCACTGAGAAGATGAAGAACTTACGATCCGAATGGTAGGCATTTCAGCGAATGTCGTGTCTCCCCAGGTGCTTTAACATCCGCTGCATCATCACTTGGGAGGGGACGGCCGTTACGGGTGGATGGCGATGGTGGTTCAAATTCGTCAATCATGAGCTGCATCTGGACAGCAGAGGAATTTCGTGGCGCGTGACGGAAATATGCTCACCATGCTGCACAGTCGCATCCGCTTGAAATAGTCACCCGAGTTACTATACGTGTCAACAAGATGCATGAAGAAAGCTAAATCAATTGTTACCTGCGAGGCAAAAGCAAGCGTCACTGCGCTACAAAATTACACGAATTGACGATGGTGCTACATAAATTACTCGACAGAATCGATCATTGTTCTTCAATATCATGTCGAGTGAAACGAACATCACTAAGGAGTCCATATTGCGATACACATGAGCAATCCTCAAATAATATGATGTTGCTTTATCGATAAGACCCTCTACCCTGCCCTGAGCGTAACGGCTTTAACCGACTACGACGGGGAAGCCCATAGGTACTAATGAGGGTATGTCAGAAGAAAGCTCAAAATGCTACTGACTATTGTACTATAGCTGGTGCATATAGGATCCTCAATCACTCACTTACTCTATCGGTCACACTAGGCATAATCGGCGGTAATCTTATGGGCTCTGGTGAGGGAGCGGGGAGTCGCTGTTGACTGTTATAAAACACAGCCGGGGCGGAGCAGCGACTGGGGTTCGACACCTGAAGAGCAGCACGTCGTTGAGCCAAGGTATAGTTCATTAGACCTGATGGTATTCGTATCGTGGACCATCGTCTTCATCGTCAGTATCAGGAAAATGCCGCCTCTGGGTATCGAACTCGGGTCGTTCATAATTACCACCGCCACCTATGCTGACCGCTGACCCAGAGCGTCGTCTTCGATCAAGTGAGCTGTTGAGATAGTAGACTCTTTGGGAACCCGGTGGGGACAACAATAAGGGTGGACTCCTGCTGGGCCGCTGCTGTTGATAACCCTTAGAAGCGCGAGATGATGCGTTCGGCCTCACAGACAGAGGGGATACACCCATGTGGTAATTGAGCTCAGCCTGTCTCACAGACCAAGCCAACACTGGCGGTACTGTGCTCCTAGACAGTGTTATCAACGACGATGATGAGAGAGCAATAGTCAATACTACCGTGGGAGAGGCTGTGCTGCTAACCGAGGTACTCGGGAGGACGATCCTTCTTCCGTATTACACTGGGCCCTACTACTCGGAAATATACCATCTGACGACGATAACCCCATCGAGTAAGCATGATTCGGCGATAACGTTCTACTATTATTCATCGTGGTCAGTCACGTTATTCAGAAAACTAATGCCCTAGCCCAAAGTTCTCTCATCGTGATTCCCAGTGATACTACTGTTATTATCCACATCCGCCCTATGGAGGTCCTCTGCCGGGTCGGCTGGGTGCTCCCATGCAGTAGCAGTACATACTTCATCATTATACCGCTGTTCAGTTGTCTGCTGAGTGCTGCATGGTAACGCCGATGGAGAACCAGGAGACATTGTGGTGGAAGAGCGACAGAGGAGGGGATCTTACGTTCTAATTCCTTGCATTTCGTGCATTTAGGGAATTTAATTCGTCACCCCACGAAATTCTAATCTTGCGCGGCCTAAATCTCCATCTGTTCGTGTTTTCTTGGTGGAAACAGAATCATACACGTTTGACATGGTACATTTTACGATTCACATGTGAAACGATCATCAACCTTAACCAGTCAAACAAATAAACAGAGCCCGCGAATAGATGGGCGGAACAATGGTACGTAGTATTAGCTATACTACAGTGCGAAGGTTTAGGAATTCACCATCAACCACGATGAACCACGATCTGCTCGTGCTGAATGTTGCCTTACACGAAGCTTGTGGAGTGTTGACCGTGCTGGCTCATTTTGCTTACCCTCTGCCACTCGGTAGTTTCTGATTGTCTGCATCGCGACGTGCAATTCTCAACTGTGTGAGGATGGCTGTCCGATGGCCACAGATGAAGTCGGCAGGGCGGGACGAGTTGAGTTAACGAGTTTTGGTTGTGAAGCTGCGATCGGGCCTGTGTTTGGCGGGCAAAGAAAAAAGTCTGGGCAAACTTTGCCCAGACTTTATTCTTTCCTATTCGCTCATCGAATTTCGTTGCTTTTTTGGGGAGCTGTCGTTGAGCCTCCCGCAACCACTGGAGTTGGCGATTGTATGTTTAAGGGTGATCATGAGCGATAATTCATCGCTCATTGTCGTTGCTGAAAGAGTATCTTCGATTCTATCTCGCCTGCCCATTCAAACCAGAGTTACTACCGCTCAAATAGGCGTCAGAAAGGTGTGAACTCTCCTGACATGGAAGTGTAGGAGAGGAATCACGAGATGGTAGAGAACAATCACCAACAAGAACCCCCTAGCCAGCAGATGCCCTATTGTTGACACTGCGCTACCTTCACGTGGCTCACGTGTGGCGGTAACGATACGTACCTTCATAGGTTTTCTGGGTCGAGAGAGTTGGGTGGGAGGCACCAGACACTTCCTTAACTGTATCATAACAGCGTACACTGCAGCATACGGCTACGTCATCGTGCATGAGGGCGGTTGATCATGGGCCTCTCTTATTGACCCATCAAGAATGATGAATCTCAACTTAGGCGGAAGGCTGATAGGGGCTCACAGAATGCCTGGCAGACCAAGAAAACCGCTTTGGCTGAGCTGTTCAAGGCCGTACCAGATACGGATGGTCCCGACATTGGCTCGTCTAGCGTATGTAAAGGCATCAGGGAGGAGTTCTGAGAACTCCAGGGAGGAGGATCTTCTTGACGAGGCCAGTGTGGGAGAACTCACTTCTCGCACACTGGCCTTGTCTTTCCTGGCCTGGCCTAGTTCGCTAATAGTCCCAATAGAGTTCCTACTGTAACCTATTAGATTAAACCTAATGCTCACTAATCAATGATGACTTCCGATACAGTAACACCTATCCAGTGAAAGTCATAACTTTATTGCCCGCCATTTCACCATCAACAGACTCCTCACCCTTTCTCTTCCTTCACCAAGTCAGACGACCTTTACTATCTACACGGCAACCTTTCCTGTAGTTCCAACTATACCAACTCAACTCAGCTTATCTCATAAGCAACCAAACTCTAGTGTCTCAGACATTAACGGATACACTAAGCGCCTTTTTAAGCACCCATATGCATATCTACAGTCCGAAGGCAGTTAGTTAAGTAGGATTATGCCTGGACTAACGTTTTGAACTCTCCACTCTTCACCTTGGCCACGGTGTCATCACCGCCTCCAATGAATTTACCATTTACAAACACACGAGGTACCTGTAAGAAGAAGCATCAACTACACAAGCTGAGGCGGAAGGAGAGCTTACACTGCGAGCACCAGTGAGCTGACCTAAGTAGTCTTGAATGTCAGAGCAGTCTTCACGTTCATCGAGCTCGATAACCTTAGGAGTAACGTCGATTGAAGCGAAGGCCTCCTTTGCCTTCTTGCAGTGAGGACAGTAGGATTTGCCAAACAGTACAACCTTGTTGGTCGCGATCTCGTTATCAACGAAGCTTTTGACAGACATATCTCTTAAAACGGTCTTATATAATAACTGAATTCGAAGGAGTCTCCAAATCTGACACACCACAGAACATGCGAAAACTAAGTGAACCCACTAGCGTATGATATCCCCTGCGTGTTGATGCTGAGCTAAAGCACAAATTAGACAGTTCCTCGAGGAATTCCCTGCGCAAGAAAGGCGCGATTACACAATATTCTACTCTAAAGGGCGAACCTGCCTCGTTATACCATTTTGTTACTACAGAAAGCATACCCAAATAAACGTCAGTGGCTTATCACAGAGCCATATACATATTTAGCAGCGCACACTGTGATCGTGGCGTTGCATCAACAGAGACAAGCCTGTGCCGATATGGCTGAGCTCCTTCTCAGTGTACGAGATCGTTGATCGGGACGATCCACGATAAATGCGGGGTTGGCTGCATAGATAAGGTCGCGGCTGGTGAAGCTCACTCGGATCTAACAGTACCGAATGCAATACGGGTGACAGCTGCGAATCTCAACACGCAAGCAACAGCCTTCGGAGAAATGGTCAAGATAGCAAGATCGTTTTAAAGAGCTAGGCGTGGGCTTAGGTTGGGTAATCGACGAGTTTGTCGGCAGGGGTCAATCGCAAATTCCTTTTCTTTCAGAGTTGAAAGTTTATCGTACTTGCGTCCCCATCGGGATATTATTATTCCCCATCGTCTTCATCGGTGCTGTTTATGGCCCAGACTCGCTGTTGTAGTGTTGGTTTTAGTAGAGCTCCTACTACTGCTTCCACATCGTCTTCCTATCGGAGAGGTCGCTTCAACCTCGATCCCGTGGTGAGTCTTTCGCCGTTAGACGCGAGTGGTCTATCGGCTGCCATTCTTTATAAGGACGATGACGTCATTGTTGGCTGTAAGGAGCCGCCTACTATTCCCCAAGTACGCCGTATAGGCCGCTTCGAGTGTGCTGACGCTGAGCGTGAGGATGCCCCTGAGCTACTCCAACGTAGACGTGTCGGTCGATTCGAGGTCACGACTTGGTCGTCAGCGTGTGTGGTATCAAGATGCGAGGATTCATTCGTGAACGGTGGAGAAGTCGTGATAAAGCGACCTTCTTTTCCCTAGCTTTATATATCCTTTCATCTAATTCACTGGCCTGCTTCAGCTATATGCTCGCGGACATAGATGATTTAGTTCTCTATCGTTGATCGATTCGATACCGTTAACACCCGTCTTGCCTGTGGTATTGTCATTTACCCGTAACAGTTCTACCAGTTGACAATTCCGTGTGTATGTCTACCGTACCTTGCGGTAGTCTTCTCTTCTCCTTCGTCTTTCATATATACTAGAACTTGAAGTTCTGAACTTCGAGGTGTTCCAAGTATTGAAGTACCTGATGGTTGATCAGTGAGCTCTGCTTGCTTTAGTCAATACATTATTTCTAGATGAATATTATCGTACACTTGGTTCGAGGGACGCATATATGTGATAGCTTGCTCTCGTAAAAATAGCCTAATCTATAGTAGTATGTATGCTTCCTGTTATTGCTAGCATTCCGATAAGGCAGCTAGCGCTATAGATTCGCAAATCAAGTCAAAATAAGAGGGGTAGATCCGGAGCTCACACGAGTTTATGCACTGATTTCTGGTAGTACTGCGATAACTCTTGAGTCTGTGAAAGTAATGTATGGGAACGAACTTTGTTCCCGCACATCTATGAATCACACCGTTTTTGTCCCTGAACTTGCCAGAGGGAGTATGGCGGGGGAGAGTTGCCTCGGTCAGTTGACTAGGAAAGGTTTGTGTCGCGACACTGCTCTGTTCTCCCAGTGCAACTTTGGCCGATCCTGTTATTCTCACTGAGCCTCGATATGTAGCAGTGTAGTTCATACCTTCTTGAAAAAGCATATCCTCCCTCAAACGGAATTTGTCCTTCGACTCACAGCGAAATTAATTCCCTCATTACATCCAGCCTGTGTGTCTGTGGAATTGATCATCGTAGTAGGAAATAGTTTTTGAGATGGCATAGCTGCCCCATGTAGAGGAATTGATCATCGTAATAGGGCATAGTTTTTGAGATGGCATAGTTGCCCCATCCAGAGGAATTGATCATCGTAGGAGGGCATAGTTTTTGAGATGGCATAGCTGCCCCATGCAGAGGAATTGATCATCGTAGTAGGGCATAGTTTTTGAGAAGGCATAGTTGCCCCATGCAGAGGAATTGATCATCGTAGTAGGGCATAGTTTTTGAGATGGCATAGCTGCCCCATCCAGAGGAATTGATCATCGTAGTAGGGCATAGTTTTTGAGATGGCATAGCTGCCCCATCAAGAGGAATTTACCATCGTAGTAGAGCATAGTTTTCGAGATGGCATAGCTACCCCATCAAGAGGAATTGATCATCGTAGTAGGGCATAGTTTTTAAGATGGCATAGCGGCCCCATCCAGAGGAATTGATCATCGTAGTAGGGCATAGTTTTTGAGATGGCATAGTTGCCCCGTCCAGAGGAACTGATCATCGTAGTAGGGCATAGTTTTTGAGATGGCATAGCTGCCCCATCCAGAGGAACTGATCATGGATCGATCCTGATCGTCACCGAATTGATCCTATCCTGAACTCTACAGTCGAATCTTCAACGGAGTTGTGTGTGATCCAAGTTGGAGCACTCCCATGTTGGACTAAATTATTCCGCGCTCATGCGGTTTTAGTGGGAGCGCAAGATTCCAAGATTTCTCCTCGGAAATCGTACGCGGGCGTACAACGTACCGAGTTGGCTATTTGTGCTCTCAGCGTATACTTTTTATTACTTATCTCACCACTTATAGCCTGGTCGGTGCCTTGCATGGTCGTCGAGAGTTCTCCTACTGACAATGGGCGACGTCAGCCGCCCGAAGATTCTCATGTTCGGAGGGGTAGGTTCAGCCTGGGTCCTCTGCTCATGCTCACGGATAGTGAGGCCAATACTCTAAGAAGTGCTACCTTGCGAAAGGCCACTGACTCCGAGCTGCCATCCAGCGATGCTCGTCCAAAAGTCCGTCGGGTGGGGAGGTTCGAGTGCGAAGCCGCTGACTCCTCCGATATCATCAAGAGGAGGAGGGTTGGGCGGTTCGATGTCGTCACTGTACCTTCTGCATGTACGGTCTCGAGGACCGACGATCCATCACAGATGGCTCTGGCAGTTCTCCGTCATGAACCCAGCACCTGAGCCTCTACTATATACTGCTATCATATGTGACAGTTTTTAACATATCTATTTACTGCCTGAGATGTGCTTACGATTGCGATCTCTAGCTAATGACTTCCGATGGCCCCTGTTACCTGCAGGTCGCGAGTACAGTTCTCTACAATATACTGTGCTCGCAAGGGAAGCTGGGAAGCTCATGACCTCTATTCTGTCGTCTGAGGCTTGTTTCTGTAGTCGGGTTGCTGTGTGCGACGAATTGTTTTTCTATCGAAGAATGTTCTGCCAAGGTCCATTTTCTTTACTTGGTTATGGTGTGTCTCTTTCGTCGCGCTGCTTTTGCATTCCTATTTGGATGTGATGGTCTCAAGTTTTCTTCAATTTTGGTGTATCTGTCTGTAGTACATCCGAGGACGGCGTCCTTATCACATTCCTTAGCGAGTACTGTACGACCGATTACTGCGTTAATATCAGTCCGATTTTGTTGTCTAAAGTATGTGTGGTGTTGAACTTAATCTATATGGGTGTACAGATGGTTTATTTGATGTATGTTATCACTACATGTCAGGGCCAGCATGAGCCCCTTCTGTGGATGAGCCAGTACGACTAACCTGTATGCTTGTTAGGGTATAGGGGTCTGTGGTGAAATCATCGTCACTGATCTGCTCAGGACAGTTAGGGTCTATAATGTAAGAGATAATTGAGGTAAAAGGACATTTCATTTACTCACGTGAGTACTTGGGGAAGAGTCGGCTAGTGAGATCATTGATTGCCGTAGGGATTTTGAAGTTGTAGGCTGTCTAGGTAGATGCTCTAGACAGGTGCATGAGTTCCATTGGCGATACTGTGGCACTACCAGTAGCAGGAGAGCTATGAGTGGTGACCGTTCCATTAAAATTCGCACATGATCGTTCCACGTGTTAATACTAACTGTCTCGTTACTCGCACTGTGTTTGGTTACCACAAGGAATCGTCATTGGTGTATGTTCTCTCACAGTTCACTTTGTACCGCACCTCTAGGTCCTCTAGTGCTCTCCTCAGTCGTAGAGCGCTGCCTATAGTAACCACCACTCGCACAACACTTCATTACAGCAACTCGGATTGCTGTTCACTTAAAACTGGGTAGTGGTCCGAAGCATGAACTGTCATCAACGAGAGTATTTGTTCAGGCGACCTTCCACCTACTACAGCGCACTTCTCGCTAGTATTGGCTTCTGAGTGTCGAGCCAACGGGGCCTACAGCGATCTAAATTATACCCTTCTATTATTCGCTCAGTGCTGTTGACAGTTTCTGAGCCATATTGACCTTTGAATAGTCCAGGAGTCCTTCCTTTGCAGTAGCAGCAGCAGGAGGTAGGATGGGTTCATGTCATGTAGTTTTTGTCCAACGTGCTATTCAGATCAAACAACCATCGAGATATGTCATTGGAGAAGAGAGGGAATCACCAAGCAGGTCCGTCCGAGGTCGAGACAAGTAAGGATTCTTTACATCTTCTCTAATCGAAGCATCTTCATGGTGACAGCTCGTCGTGTCACCAACTCGGTCAGCAGTGAGCCAAGTACTACTGGTAGCGGCAACAATGGTGTTACACCTGTCGAAGTGTCACCGCCGACTACTCGTTCGTGGGGCACCAAGAGTCAGAGAAGAGAGTGTGCTAGGATGGCAGAGATCTACAAACGCTGTAGCAGAGGTATGCCTATTGCTTGTCTCGAGATTCATATCGGTAGATGAAGCTGGCACGAAGAGTGTTGTTGAGTGGGACAGACCCCCAGTTGGCACCTACAACTGTTTGATATCTCCACGTGGACCTACACTGATCGCTGCCGGGAAAAGCGGTCGTTTCAGGGTGAGCAGTATGATTGGTTTCGAACATATTTTGGAGCATCGTTACATGTCAGATGGTCATCTGCGAGGCCCCCACTGGGGACAATGCTCATTCCCTTGCATTATACCTCAAGAGACGCTTTGGCGTTACAGAGCTTGTACGATTCGTCTAGGCGGCGGGGAATGAGGTTCACCTGTAGGTCCGGGTTTCAAGTGATAACGATGCTCGCTATCCTCGAGAGGCTTTCGAAGACCTCAGTATTGGCGTTCATGACCTGGTGAGTCTTTTCGTATTGTATCGCCTTGACTCGTTCACATCAGCCCTTTGCTGATGGATCTGCTCCACCCGACGATGTAGTGGAGGCCTTTCTTGAGATTCTTGACTCATCTTTATATCACAAGAGGAATATGGAGGACAACTGCTCTCCGCCGTGTGTAGCCATTCACTGCATTTCCGGGCTTGGGAGGTCCCCGGCTATGGTCGCATTGGGGCTCATCGAAAGGGAGAAGATGGAACCTTCCGAAGCCGTACGTGTATGCCTATATGAAACTAGTCGTTGTATCTCCACCTTAGATTTTCCTGGTCCGTAAGCTGCGTAACGCTAGATGCTTCACGAAGGAACAATCTGCTTACTTGCTTAACTACGTCCCGATGTAAGCAATCAACGCTCTTCAGTTACGGTAGAGGTGACGTTTGTTATCAGGCATAAGAAGAGGAATCAGCTTCTGGCTTGTCTGCGCTCCCTGTTCACTAGGAGACCAGTGAAGGGGTTGAGTGCCGAGGCAAGCCCTGGCATCAATCTGACCAGAGCGGATACCTCCGCATTGATCAGCCAATAGATCTGTCGATGCCACACGCACGGTCGTTAATGTTGTAGAAGTTGCCCAGAAGAAGTTGTTATGGAAATGACGACGAGTTAATGAGCGTTTAGCGTTGCGTAACAGTGGTCACTGGTGGAGGAAGTCATAAAATTATAATTTTTGCTGTTCCGTAATCTTGCAGCGTCAACTCGTCACAAATTGGCCCGCTCACGGGTTAGGGTAATATTGCGATTCACCTAGCCCGTGGGTAAGCCGTTATCTACCCTTTCCTGACAGTAGACGGATCCGCTGACTAGCGCTATATATCTCGTCTTCCCGCCATTCATGTGACTGTTAACTTGCTAAGACCTCGAGTCATATCAGTCTCATCTCGTTCCTATGACACGACGTTGTCACTATTTACTTGAGTAAACTGAGCCAAGGTGTTCTTAAGGATACCCACAGAGCTTTTGCTCAAGTTGATCGAAAGTGAGAGTGTTCATTCAAGTAGAAAGCTCAAACCTGTAAACTGCTCCCATTTCACACCCTCCCAACACGACAAATAACAGCATCAACAACATCATAAAGTTGAGTTATTATCAAAATGACTAGCATGCGAGTCCTTATACATAAGTTTAGAAGTCAACGGGGAGCAGTAGTTGCGTTGAAGGGATTATTACGGAAAGCTGTAACATATCTGCGCCAATCTATGCTCCACAACGAGAGCAGCACTGACCTTACTTATCAACATACTCAGTCACATCACATTTACCCTTACTGTATCTCCACTTCGAAGGGTTCAACGTCTTCATATGGTGGACACTGCAGATGAACAACGCCTCTATCATGAAAGCTCTACAACTGGTCCTCACGTGGATCTGGGCAGATCTTTAGCGGCGTTGGCTGTCGGAGCGAACTCGACTGCTGGGGCACTGCCATCCTTATCTGTGGCCTTCTGACAAGCCTTTCGTTTGAGTTGCTGAGCTCTGCACAATAGAGTGTTGCAACGTTGAGGGCCTATGGCTAGCCTGGTGACTATCTTCCGGGCTAATGCATCTCGCGTTCAGTCAGTTCTAGTCTAGAACGTTATTATACATATCAGAAAACCCATCATAGTTACTGACCACAGACTACGTCATCTACTGCATACCATATACACAGTACTACTCCGCCGATAGATTTCCGAACGGTGTTGTACGCCATAAACTCCTATGCAACCAAACGTTTGTAGCGTTAGTATCACTACCTGACGCCTATGAGCCAGCCTATCTCTTGCTGACTCGTCTCTGGTTCACTCAGCCGCTCAGCAGGGACTCTACCACGGTGCCTTATGACCTGTATCTCATAGGAGCCCTCATCCACCTTAGTTGTTTCCAACTGTCAACGACACAGCGTCAACTACACCATGTACACGATAATCTCACCCGTTCCTGCGGCGTTTGAACCTGGACCTTCTCAGCGACAGTAGTGACTACAGGGGGTAGAGGTCTGGTGTGGTTCATTTGGAAGGTCAGGTACGGTCGGCTGTGCCTAGAGGGAACGACTAGTCCGGAAGGGCGCAGGGGTGCGTCCCTTTATGTTGTGTTTTACCGCAGTTCTGTTGCAATCACTTCATTCCATATTTTCTCTTGTCGCACACGAGCCTTCTGATTGTAGAACGACTGGCTCTCGTCCGGCATTGATAGGAAGACGCGAAGGAGTGGTATTGGCGACACGGTCCAGAAATGAATCGTCACTGCGCCACAAAACTCGTAGCTGGAAAGTGCGCACTTTAGCCGCCGCTCGAAACCACACCTTCGACTCTTCCCTTCTCAGTTATAGTAAGTGTATCTTCACATGCTAACAAATATTTGTACCACTCCATCTGCAAATGTGTCTCAATTGTGATCAGTGGTACTTTGGAATAGCACTACATGACATACTGGGCAAATTCAGAAGGTAGTAGTGGGAGACGTGGCCTCACTAGTGGCGTATACAGGGAGCTGTAGACTGCGTTCACTATTCGATTCACCCGCTACTTTTGATGATCATCATAATCTTGCACTACCGTGCCCCCCCCCCCCCCCCTGAATGCACTTGTCTATGACCATGACAGCGTAGTAGTGCAGAAGAGCCTTAGCGTTATATAGGCTGCCGAACAGCGTATGAACTCTATTGTAGGAATCATATCAGCAGTGGACCCAAGGCTCGGAGCCGTCTCGAGAAGGATAAACGTAATAGGGAGGGGATTGCGTTATCGTCAACCACTCCTGCTGCTGATTTAACTTGAAAATGAAGGAGAAACGATTCAAAGCATGGTCGGGCCCTTTATTATAGTTGGTTCAATGCCTTCAGACCCCACACTTTTTCAAAGGCTACTGTGCTATTCAACCTCTGCCGTAGAAGAGGAAAGGATAGATTCCCGTAATCATCATACCACAATCGCGTCATTTCTTCAATTCAAGCTAGGTACTCACACGCGTAATAGAGCTTATGTAGTAGCTGAAGCCGATGGGTAATACAACTGGGAGGTCAATGACGTTTGACAGCCGCGTTTCTCAGTGTGCATCGTCGAGCCACTGGTTCCCATAGTGATAGAGGTAAAATCCAGGATCACCCCACCAAAGGAAGTAGTGCAAGGCCAGCTGAAGGGCAGCGACATCTGGAGCGAGAATGCAACTCATCCTACTACTCTCACTTCCACGGTGTGGGCACGACTGGGGTCTATGATCATACCGTCTCTTCAACATCTTCGGACTCGTCAGAGACTCTGGCAGCCAAGACTATAGGGAATCGGATGATGTATGGCCGCGACCGGTGGCGTCATGACCTCCCTCCGTGGTTCTATTCCGACATCGAGAAGCAACAGGCGACTATTGGCTCGCCTCCAAGGCATGGCCTTGTCTGGAGTGGTGGGGACTACCGGCATGAGATGGGTCTGCAGACCTACTCTGAGATGTATGACGACCCGTCATTCTACAGGAGTCGGTGGCCGCCGGACCTGCGTTCGTATAGGAGTAGTGTCGTGGACTATGAGGGTGCAGAGGGTGCTCATACCGCTCCTTCGTCAACTCTGCGGCGCTACAGTAGTGCCCAGAGGCCTAGTACTGCTCGCGTGGATCTATCGACTACCCCTAGCTTTGGAACACTGGTCGGGGAGACAGGTTCTCTGAAGTCGGGTCAAGCTAGTGACTGGTCTGTTCCTCCTTCTTATCGCCGTTCACTGCATCAAGGTATCCCTCCCCACTCCCAGCACGCGTCTGCACGGGCCTAATTCTATTGGGAACTATATTCCATATTACTACCACTGTCACAAGTAATTCCGTTCCCTATCATTTTTATGCTGTGTGTATTGGCGTTTCATCAGCCTCCTCCCACGGCTCGTGTTTGTAGTTGGCACTGATCAACGTAACGCTGTTATGTTGGTGGACGTGAACGCCATGTTGAGTATTGGTAGTGAGAGCACACCGTTTGCAGCAGCAGCACCATAATTATATTAAACACTACACAATGAGAGTCCTGTCCTATACTGTTAGAATCAGAGAGGTAATGGATTCGATGTCATGTCCATCAAGATTCACTTCCTTTCAATAGGGCACTTCCCACGACCTCTCGAATGTCGTGTATGATCACGGGATGATCATCGGTGTACTAGTTTATAGAGACCACATCCCAGTATCGTTGATTTCACCCGGCGTTGCCTCAGCCGTCAGTTCAGTGCCTATTCCACACCAGCTGGAGGGTGCCAGCCACTACCAGCCAACTATGAGTGTAACCATAGTAGCTACTAAGCGTAGTATCATCCAGCGTTGGGATCCCTAGTGCTCGAGTCACTCCGTGAAGTTGTTCACTTCCTTACATGCTGTTTATCATCAGTTTCTGACTGCCTCTACCTTCATGCTTTGGTATAGCCTTCCAATTTGCCTACTAGCGATGTATGTTGAGTTACTTCATCGAGACATTCTGCAACTTTCACAATCACTCCCACGAGAAGGATGCAAATACTTCTACAGGTACTTTAGGAGTAGCAAATACTCGTAGACTACGCGATAGCAGTAACAGCAACGCCCAGGTCGTCATTGTCCTTGAGTTGCGTTGTTCTCGTTCGTGCACTGAACAACTTGATACTCTAGACATGTTATTCTTCAAAACATCGGTTGAAGCTACTCCTCTAACACAACTCCTTCCAAGTACAAAGTCATCAAGTATTAACACAATAGGTCTCTAAGGCTCTCAAGGCTCGGTCAAACTCGACCAGCTCTTTCGCCTGGCCTTTTTCTCGAAGCCTCTTGTACTCCTCTATCGTATCGAATCTGACACCAATCGTATACAATTAGATGACGAACTGAAGACGCTACGTCTCGCCGGTGAACGGCTCTCGATACTTCCGTCGCTGTGATGGAGACAGCTCTACGGGGGAAGCCGACGGAGACGGAAATGCTGCACAGATGTCCGCACCGTTATGGAAGGACAACTGCTCAATCACTTCTCCCTTCCCTTTTGACGCACTGCGAAGATTCTTGATATGGTGATTGAGAATAGTGCTCACCTGTTGGTCCAACGAACTAGAGGTGTGGTCTCCCTGGCCTTCTTCTTAGCCTTCACAGCGGCACTCTGATGATGGCCCATCTTATCGAGTTCCCTTTCATAGCTGATATAGTCGATGAGTTGTCTCGTGTTCCATACTTCCACTTGGAGGGCCTCCTCAATGAGTTCATCCTGAGTGACATGAGAGTGAAGGGAGCCGTGGAGGTGGATAGTAATAGACTGCAAATTGACAATAGGAAAATACTGTTTCACAGCCGGTGCAGTAAACAATGGTAGTTGGCACAAAGCCAATTATCAATATGAAGAGATAAATGGCATGACGGATGAGTGAAATGAACAGTAGTAGCGACATACCACACTCCAACCAATTCAGCGATCGTCAACAGTAGTAGCGACATACCACACTCCAACCAATTCAGCGATCGTCAACAGTAGTAGCGACATACCACACTCCAACCAATTCAGCGATCGTCAACAGTAGTAGCGACATACCACACTCCAACCAATTCAGCGATCGTCAACAGTAGTAGCGACATACCACACTCCAACCAATTCAGCGATCGTCAACAGTAGTAGCGACATACCACACTCCAACCAACTCAGCGATCATGTACATGTCTTACATAGCTCGGCCACTTGTCCTTGGTCTTCTTCTTCTTGGTTTCCTTTCTACCCTTCCTCCGCTCCTCTTGACTATGCATCCTATCCGTTTCCCTAATACTAGAGTCCACCGTCTGGGCTCGGGTAGTATCTCTAGTGGTGACACCGCGGACGCCTCTGGAAGCCGATACCGGCCTGATCGATACAAATCCCACCGAATCAACGGAGCGATACGTTCGTACTCTTTATTCGATGTTTCCTCCCAGGACGGAGTACTTGTCGCCTCCTCGCTGCTTTTCCTTCCCCTTTTCTCTACAGCTGAGGCCTTCCGAGCCTTCTTCCGTTTGGGCTGTAGCGCCGGATCAACATATCTAGAATTGATCAAGTGGGTCCCCTGCCTAGAGGGTGGAGAATAATGTCGATCCCGAGTGGCTTATTTGAACCCTTCGATATTTGTATGAGAATTCAGCTGCTGCTTGCACAGTCTACAGTACATTACACAATGGAGCTGTGCTTACACTAGCTTCGCATTATCACTGCATTTTCTCGGCTACTTTAACTCTTCATCTGCTCTATCTCATTCACTATGAGCCCAATCTACTTATGTTGTGTTCTACTTCAACGAGACAGTGCACGCTCTCACAAAATACTCAGTCCTCCCACAGAAGTGCTATCTTTCCCGCAAACACGGTGTTGGAATAGGAATATATATTCGCTTTCCTCAGCTGAGCTCAGGAGTTCGCTTGATAATTATGGAAGTTCACATACGAATTTGGGTTAAAAATATACAGAAATCAATGAGAATTTCCCAAAATTCCCTTAAAATTTTCATATTTTTACCAACACAATGTAGTTGACCATGTGCAAATTTTCCTACTCTGCATGACTAGTAACCAAAGGCTTTCAGCACTTTGCATAAGTACTGAAATCCCAGTTTAATGGAAATATTCACCTACACCTCCCAGATGGGCTACTTGTTCGGTTTCCGTCTGCGTTTTAAACTATCATCACTCTCCTCCTCCTCATTGTTACCCCCCTCCTCCTCTACACCAGAGGTTGCCTCCGACATGCTAGATTCACCCACGTCCTAATACGATTCACCCATGCGATGCTTCGGAAGAGTTTTACAAGGTCATTTACTTGCCATTGCGCATCCTCCTCATCCTCAGAGTCGAACGAGATGCTGCTATCATCGGGATCCTCCTCCCACGTGTCGTGTAAATTCGAGCTCCAGAACTCATCATCCTTCAAAGCGGTAGCTGAAGGTCGCAGGTTCGTTCCCGGCACCCTACATTTATTCCTACCAGACTTCTGAATAACCACCCTTTTCTCTCTCTCATTCACATTCCAAGTGATCTCCTCGTCCCCTGAAGAGGACGACTCCTCCTCACTTGTACAATTCTCGGTCGCTGGTCGCCACTCAGCCATACAAAGGCCCACCTCATTAACCACCGTAACTCCCTGGGCAACGCAAGGGCTAGTCTCTCTGTGTGAATCGAGTGAAATGTTTGTGATCAACTTAGTAGTACAAAATTCAATCCCTTCCGAACCATAACGACCGAGAGAATCTACAGTGTCGTATTTTCTTCTTTGGTGGTGTTTTTCATCACTTTAGCGAGATAGGAAGTAGACTCAGTGGGCCGCGACGACGAGACAGTATCCTCCTTCCCTTCCTCCAATATGTACCGCGGGACAACCTAGTAGAAACGATTCCAACAACGTACTGCAGCCTCCCCATTCTATCGATATATTACTACCTGCCAATCGTCCTTCCCCACAAGAAGAGGGAATTCGTTCTCATCGTCCATCCTTGGTGGCGGCTTGCTCACTCGGGCGTCCAGTCCCTCGCTCTCTCCGCTTAGTTTCTGCAACAAGGAGCATGGTGATACAATTAGAGAGTTATCGATGCTCCTATTACCAGTAGAGTGTCTACTGTAGTATCCCAGTCTCGATCACTGCAGAGGTAGATGTCTTGAATGAGAGCCGAGTCCAATAGAGGGAACATCTCGAAAAGATCTGTTATTTCATCTTCAAGGCTGAAGAAAGAACGTAGTGGATTCCGATGGAGTCCATAGATGCAGTACTAGTAGTAGTAGTAGTAGTAGTAGTAGTAGTAGTAGTAGTAGTACCACTCAGCCTCCTCCCGCTCAATCTCCCGTGAGCGTTCCTGTTCATGGGCTTTACTCTCCTTAGCTGTTTCCTTCCAAACCTTCAAACAGCGGGATTCGAAATATCTAACACGCTCATGTAAAGTTCATTGTTAACAGGGTGAGGGCACTACTCCCGTTGAACTGGTGTGGCGTTAGGCTTAGCCCCCGGCATGTTTTCACAGTCATCCCATAAGTTCAGCCGGGGCTTGCGATTACTGGACGACTTCTTCTTCGGTCGGCCCGCAGCTGACAGATCAACCGGCAGTTGTCATGATTCGCTCTTGGGGGTATAGATGATGTAATAGAGTTTCACCCGTCATACGTGAAGTGGCGTAATACTCTGTGAAAACGCGATATTCACGGTATGCAGTAGTCGTGAAATATGTTTTTCACTAGTGTTTTTCATACCACGGGTAAAATACCAATGTTCTATCACAGACCTCTCAAATCTCCACACCGATGTCCAGGATATGCACGAGATCAATTCAGTTCTACGAAAGTCTCAGATCCCTGCGAGAAGTAAGTCAGAATATGCCATTTATGCTTTCCCAATACGTTGTTGAATACCCGAAGCCCTATTACCAATCCTAGACTGCTCTTCTTCGCGTTCAATTTCCTCCCATTCTTCTCCGTAATCGACTTGCGGCGAGCTTTCTTCCTCTTCCTCAGCAGCAGCAGCGGCAGCGGCACTCAACTGTACAGAGTTCTTCCGTGGAGAGGGCATCTTGATTGTTGCAAGACCTGTTCGGCTGAAGGGTTAATATAGAACATCCCTTTTTGAACTTTCTCGCCAGGATGACGGATGGAAACACGAGGATAGTTCCAGATTAGCGAAAATATAATGCAAAAAGTGAGTTATGATCTTAGGTCCTCAGCTTTTAGTTACTGCACTATAAGCTCTACCGACGTGATGTTACGTTGGTGTCTTCGGCAAACTGGCGAGCCTAACGGTCGTAGTAGCTGATTCATGACACTTTGGCCGAGTGGTTAAGGCGGCGGCCTGCTAAGCCGTTGGGCTCTGCCCGCGGGAGTTCGAATCTCCCAGGTGTCGTTTGCTGAACTGTGCGCAACATTCCGATATCGATACACATTGTGTATTATAGCTTGCTTTTCCTGATTAGAGCTGTTGATATTGCGAAATTGATCACATAGATGTCGCAGGATAGGTTGATTCACGAATCCAGGAGGAAGCCCTTGACCCACCCAAGTCATTGAGTGAAATATGGTGACGTAGGCGCGTATGTGTCTGTGAACATCGTTCGAGAAAGCTTCGCCTACTGTGCTACGCACTACACCTCAGGTCATGATCAATATCATCCGACATCCCTGGTACAGTCATTATCGTAATTGATTTCCAACTAGATGGGCAGCACTGCATCCTCAATAGCAGGCAGGCCGGAGGAAACGTGGCAGTGGACGGCAGTGTTGGTTAGTAACCTTATAAGCTTCATAGTGGGTGAGCATCTACATCGTCGTCGTACAACCATAGTAGCATCATATGCAGGGACCTTCATATGGTGGACTAGTCTAAGAAAGCTCATCCCATTCCACCCCCTTTATCGCTCAATGGGAACTGCCTTTGCCTGGGTCGCTGATGTCTGGAGGCTTCCTGGATACGCAGACAGTTTGCGCCTCAGTGTCGGTAGGTTGTTACTCCAATTCCAATCCTCTAGATATGTTGAGAATCCTAGTACGAAGCATCTACCCATAGGTACTACCGAGTTCGTGGCGGGGGCCCTCTGCATGGCATGCGGCTGGATCGGGGGGAGCCTATCAGAAGCATTGGTGATGATGATAGTGGTATCATTCGTAAGTTGGATTTCTAGAGTAATCAGGTGCTGTCGGGCCTCATCGCCATCATGTCGATTATGTCAGCAGCTAGCATGACACAGATAGGGAGAAGCATACGGGATATTCTCCCAAGCTCGGTATAGTAGGACTATTAATCTCATGAAGATCTCGAGCTGTTCAGGCTTTCAACGCTTTAGCTCTGATAGCGATCCTACTACGAGTCATAGCCCAATGGAAGGCCTATCCATGGTGGGTAGGTGGCGTCGTCATCGCCGACCTCTGCATGGCTGTTCTCGTGCTTGCCTGCTTCATGTAATACCCCAGCGGGAAGGCGGACAGTCATATCGAATTTGTGTGTGTTGGCGCCTTCAACAACAGTGGTCAGATACCATCGATTATCCCATGAAAATTCTGTCTTATGGTCGCCTATTTTCGGCCCGCAGGAGGAAGGCATAACAGATGGGGATATTCGGCATCCTTTATTGGCAACAGAACGGTAACTATAGCATGTCTTCGATCTCAGCAAAAACCATCCCGGTGCATAGTGTTCTTCCCCTTTGGACTGATACCGGCTGTTCCCTCTCAGTCGGCACTTCACCCCTGTGATTACCCCGAGTTCCTTTGCCGGCTCTGATCTCGATAATGCTGACGTCGGTGGGGCGACGACGAAAGTCCCCCAGTACTTCAACATCGCCACTCGTCCCCTCTAAGGCTGTGCTGATAAGCCTGCTCATCTAGTTATAATTAGGTGTGTTCTTGCTGATCAAGTTTCATGTGGAATATCTCTTTTTTATCGCGTTCGATCAATGCATTACCCCAGTTTTGTAGCGTTTAGTTCCACCGATGAATCCGAGAGAGGCGCCACCCTCTAGTGTGCAAGAGGACACACGACGTAGCCGAAAAGGGGAAGTACTCGAGACCGAGCTTCCAAGCCCTCGGCTAGACATAGGTGGGTTCATACAGGAAGAGAGGAGACGAGTTATATCATCTAATCCCCGCATCTACGCGATTCAATGTCGCGTACTTGCTTGTGATCATTTTGAAATGAATCTAGTAGACTCATGGGTCACCTAGTCCCAGACCGTTTTTAACCACGGGTTTCCAGCTTGTACATGGTGTGTACGTCGCTGACCGAATCACACGAATGAATCTAAGAGCTAGTCTCTCCTCCTCCTCCTCGTAATTACCATATCTATAGTGGTCGAGGAGGAGGCTCGTGGAAAAATTCCATGATATGAACAACACAAGTCGGTGAGATAATCATGTTCGTAGTCAAGTAACTGGGGCGACGCCCCTTACACAGCATAGTTCAGATATATCAATGAAGACCAAAAACAGGCAACAGCAGTAGTAGTAGTAGCACCAACAGACATTATGTCATCCTCAAAGGAGGCGCAGTGCTGGCTGCCTTAAGAAAACACCATGAAGGGTCGAGAATGAGGATAGTTACTATACACGCACGAACGTACTTTACTACAGGACTTTTTCCAGAGCCCATTGAGAGAATTCACAGCTCAGCGACGGCTGACCATGACGCTTAGCAGTTGACACAGGCTTGGGAACCTCCTTGTGAGATGGCCACTCTTCTTCTGGTCTCTGCATTACCACTGAGAGCTCTGTCAGTCTCCTCCTACTAGCCCCTGAGCTAGATAGGGCAGTTGATTGGCTGTCGATAGCACCAGCATCATCATCATCATCATCATCATCATCATCATCATCATCATAAGTAGTCGTTGGTAGAATTCGCCATTTCTTAGGAGACGGTCTCCAGTCTCTCTCATCATTCAAGCTGAGACTAGTCGGTCCAGTAGTAACCTCGTCGAAGCCGTAGTCGTCGTACTCGCACTCGACGGGGCTTCCTGCGCAGTCATCGGCTTGTGAATCGGTATAGCATATTGAAGCATTAAGATCCTTGAACAGGCCGTAGCAGACTGTAGTAGTGCTATGCACTGATGATGCCTTACAGTAGGAGCCATACTTTGAACTTGCGCATGTCGTTATCTTTGAACACAGCTCCGAACAAGTCTCGGCATGAACGCCCATAAAGGGTGAGATAATGGCGATGATCATGATGATGCTCGCAGTGAAGGGCAGCTTTGATGATGACGACGACTTGGTAACCATGTGAAAATATCGTTAGATTATAACTAGTGAACATGGTAACAGCTAGACCTTACTGGGTCTGTGTGCTGGAGCACGCTAGCGGCCATGGACCGATCGGGCAGGCTCTAGGTCAGTAGGAGATTGACACCAGGACACGGCGCTCAACGATATGTCATAATATAAGCACTATCATTGCTACTCATTGAGAATAGGCTGTTGTTGACAGCTCCAGATTTCTATACGGTTGCTTAGTGCGGCACCTAGTAGCGGCTCCACGTCACAGGAAGATTTTTTGGGGGAACTGCGTCATAGTAGATATGTGGAGCGAACAATCGGACACGCCTGGGCCTCGTCAGGTAATGGGAAAGATGCTGTTATGAATAAATTACAGAAGCTCGAAAGAAAGTCTCGGAAGTTAGAGGACAAGTTCCGGTGAGGCCTTCACGTCTCTGGGGTAGTCTTGAACTGGCTGCACATATGCGGCCTTGGTGCAGTCTGGGGATGACAGACGCGTTTGTCGCTATGCGAGACCTGTTCCGTTGTTGTATGGGAGTATATTACCATCTAGGTTTCGCTTGAGCGGGTTCGCCAGAAGAGAAAGTGCTAATAGGGACGCGGCGAACGATGCGCCAGAAGATGAGGTCAGTGACGGCCATAGGGATCCAACTAACCTTGTATCAGAAAAGTGACCAGAAAAAGACTTCGATGACTGATGAGGAATATCGACGGCGAATAAAAGAGTTGAGGTGATTGTCAGAGATGTCACGAATGCTGTGTGGGGTGATGATGGTCCAGGGGTATGCATGATACACTGGTGGCGTGTATGGAGTGTATCGAAACCAATACAACTAAGGTGCTACAAGACCAAGTAAGGGTAGATTCTAAACAGAGTTCAGGGGAGTGTGGTATCCAGGAAAAAGATCTCATGCGGGCCTTCCGAGCTCGAATGCAAGATGTAGCTCGAGAGCTCGAACACCAGAGGGAACTGAAGGGTGACTACTCGACGGAATTGCAAGCTCGGTAGGAAGACCATCTTGGTCTCTTCCTATGCTTTTCGCAGTATGGGTGAATATGCAAATGGTGAACTACGTGTGTTGGTAACAATAGCAGAAATTCTGATGAATTTTGAGAACGTTGTTGGTTTTTGTAATATCCTACACTGTGTGTGAATTTTCATAATGTAGCCTTGGAAACTCCTGAGGTCAGCTGAGGAAACCACACGTATATTGTTCCGACACTTGTCTGTCGTGGTCAGACATGACGAGATGTTGATGGACCTCCGGGCCAGTCGTGAACTTGCGCAGGTAAGTTCACGCCGTCGCCGCGTGTGCAGAGTCGACTCCTTCTCTCGGTAGTCGTTCGAGCGGAGGAATGAACAGCTTGAAGGGGAGAGAAAAGGGCTAGCGGAGGCTCTAGAGGCACAAGAAGATGATCGTTGGCGCTTACTCGAGGAACTGGTCGCTCCTTCACGCAAGAATGACGACCTGTCAAGGACTAGCCTCAGGTTGCCACTAAGCGGGAGTCTGCACGGTTAAAGGACATGATAGAACAGCAAGGGGAATCCTCTGGGACCAAGGCTGGTAGAGTGATGCTCGTGTACAGGGAACTATCGTTACTCTACCAGGCGCCCCTAAGGTGTCATCAGGATTACCGAGCTCTGGTACCAGTGGTGGCAGTAACGATGTGCTCCTCGAGAACAGTGGAGGGTCAGGAGGTAGATTAGTATTAATATCGAGAGATGCCTAGAAGGTGTTCCCAGACCGGGCCAACGCTGATATCGGCGGTGGCTCTACTGCTCGCTCAAGGATGACCAATTCAGCGTATGAGAGGGAGTTGAGATATCGTAAGACCATCGACGCGTTGAGAGATCGAATCAACAGTGATAAGTAATCGATTTGCTCATCTCACAATTTGATAATCGATCATAGGCTGTCGCTGAAGTATCTACGGGAAGCCATAGACCAGCAGCTGCGACAGCGATCGGAGATTGAAGTGGGAGGCATGCTGATACTAGTGATGCCTATAGTACTGCTACTGCTAGGTGTTCCTCCAGCAGTGCATTGATGACGTTAAGAACGAGATATCCCTCTATCAGAAGCAACAGTGTCAGAGGGCTACTGGTGACCAGAGGCTCTTCCCTGGGTACTCAGAAGAAGGTGAGGCTTTCGTTCAGAGGCTAACATTCTGTTATCCTTATATGATAGGTTCTCTGGGACTTGGGGATGCTACATCCATGACCGACAACATTGATACTGTCCATGACTGTAAGGCAACGCCTTGTGTTCTTGTTCCCAATGTCGCTGTAGTGGACCGGGAGCGGGCGTTGGAGCTGTTGCTGGGACAAGAGAGGATTGTGCAAGTCCTGCACCAGAAGGTGAGGGCCGAGAATCATCAAGTTGATTTGACGATTCCTCAGATTATGGAAGGCCGCGATCGCCATGATCGATCGATTTATGATAACCTTGTCCATGAGCCTAGTGGAAGCTTCCCATCGCAAGTAGATCTGACGGATTCGGACCCCCTGCCGTCCTGGTGGAACGATGACTCTGATGAACTGGGGAATCAATAGTGACCATGCCTGGTGCTCATCAAAGGTCGTGTCTAGTCTACTTGATCGTTGCGTTTTACGGAGTACTGTGAGTAAAGCCGGCTGAAGGGACTACTGCAATATTGAGGTAGTCGGTACCATCATCATCGATCAGCAGAAGTCATTGCACGGCCCAGCGGTGGAGCCTTTTGATCACTATGATGCGATATGTTATTCTTATCATCCTTTCCGATCCTAATTTCTCGAAATATTTCTGCTGAATGATGAGTGCATAATATGAAGGCATGGCCTTACCCCGCCAGGAGCACCATGTGCATCATTTCAAAGTACTGCATGGTTACTGGCTATTTTAGCGACACCTTCCATGCTAGTAGCTGTTGCTAGGATTGCGGGGACAACATTTCCTATCGGAACACGCTGATGTGATGATTTTATAGGTGCGACAACATTCATCATGCAAGCTCCCATGATGGTCACAGCCTTCCCTTCTCCCGTATTAGAAATCATACTACACTTTCTGAAATCGTTGAGGGTTAGCAGTGGCAGATTCCTCCTTTAGCCCAATGGCCTCGCAGCACTCCCTCTACAGACGATTCAACATAGCAGGGCCGCTGCTTAGAAGGCGTCCTTTGCTTCCCATGGTGCTGATGTAGATGAGCTCTCATAGTAGTCGTGACACGATAGGTACAGTTGTGGTCCAGAGAAGCTGCAGTGCGTGGTCTCATCTCGGAAGAGTTGCTCCCCCGCCTTCTACTCTGCAGTGGCCCGGATTATGCGGTAAGCTCTCTTTGTGTTCTAGTCTGCACGAAGGGTTCATTCCAGATCCGCGATGTGATCCGTGGTAGGCCAGTTAAGCTCCGAGACTCTTTGTCACTTCCAAATGCAGTAGACCCTCGACAACTCTTCCCTCGATTGGTATCAGCTATCACTCTATTCCTGTGTATTCACGTAGCCTTCTAGTCTTCTGGCTCCACTGGGGTGCAGCAGTACGTCCATTTCACTGTCTCGCGGGCTGGCATGGATTTACAAGGAGTCCTCGCGACTTTAGCTGGGCATTCGTGAGATATAAACTTCACCACGTAGAGGTCCGGCTAGTGCTGTTTCTATGTTAGATCAGACTCCCTTCAGTGGGGTCTGATTCACAACCCACACCGTTCATCCTTGTGTACTCAAGTTGTATCTTTACCGTTGGAGGAATGGATTCAGCACGTCCTTCCGCGATGGTCTTCTACTAGGGCTGCCATTACTAGTACCGTACTCAGAGCTCCTCCTGCAAAGTGATCATATTTATCCCCTCAGGATCTTCCACGAACCGGGGTGGCACTTTCGACATCGGCGACGTCGCTGTACAGAGTTTTCCAATAGATGCCTCGCTCTCCAACGGCTACCGTTACGAGCTAACATTACGCCCCGCGGTGTGGCACGACCCGCAGCTTTCAGACGAGTTCCAAACGACTCCTCAGGCGGGGGTATATGATATATCCAAAGCCTTTGAGAACGTGAGCATTCGGACATTCACAAAGGGTAAACTAATAGCAGTTTTTTTGCTATGAGTTTGCTTTGCGAGTCGCATATAAAACTCGGAGCAAAAAAATATAAATGCGCCTTGTAATGATGGACATGTTCCCCTATCCAACCATGGCGATGCATTGACTGTAATCTGATGTTGATCATTAGGGCGTATTCGTACCACCGCCAGAACCCCAAAAACCTCCGATTCGAGGATACAGTGGAGTTAAGCAAACGAGCTACAAGGAGTTCCCCTTCGTTGTAAGCGTCACCGTGTGTGGATAATCTCTCGTGGACTTCCCGTCTCAGAACTACTTCGACTTGCATGCTCTCGACTACCCTCGTTGTCGTGACCATCTTATTGGTTTGGCCGCTCTCACTGGCAACTTCCGTCAAGCAATTGGCTTTCTCTTCGCTCGTGGTTACGGCAACATCGACGATGCCTCGAGGGCTTTTGATGCGTATTGGGGGAAACCGCGCTGCTGAATGTTAATCCTGAGTATACTTCAGTTTTTCTCGAGGAGATTACGTCGTCTGTGCCACCCTACTGCCCGAGAGGTTCCACGCGGCATCCCAGGTTCTCCAGAGCCTCTCTGCCGGGGCAACCTGGAGGGAAGCATTCTTAGCATGCGAAGCCTCAGAGTAAACCCCCACCGATGCTGCAGGCAGTTCGGAGATGATCGCCTTCTCTCTTTCAGACGTTACATATCATCAGGTCTGCGGTGGATATGGAATGGTGTCGCCTCTCGCCGTGTCACCCTTTCCCGATCTGTTCTCCCTGGTGATCTCATCATGCCTCCTGATGCTGACACACCCTTCATCGTGCAGAACGACGAGGACGCCAGGAGATATACCCTATCACAAGTTGTTATCCCTCTGAATCTCCTCGACAAGTCGCTGCTACCAACAAGCATCGGGAATTTCCCTTCAGCGATAATAGCGACCATCCACGAAGCTGGTGACTTGACTGAAATTATTCCAAGGGAGAAGTTCAGACCATTGGTTTCCCACGCCCGTAGTGTGTACATTGATCCTGTCGATGGAGGTGCCCTTCGTGCCTCATTTACACTCAATAGCGGTAGCTACGCTGATGTTGCTATGCGAGAGGTTTGCGGGGACCAGATTCTATGCAAGTCGGAAGAAGGGCCAAGAAAAGTTGAACTCAATTTACTGCGCATGTTTCCAGATATCTGTTTCTTATGAGTATCGTCTATTACGTTATATATTGAGTGTCTGGAAATCATCGATGAAGTACTCAAATGACCAATCGCACATTCATACACTCAATTCCTCGGCATCTTCCTAATAACGTAATTGTAATTAGGAGGCTTCGCACTTCAAGCTAAATGGTACTAACCGTTCAGTACTACTGAATCACTAGTAGAAGTGTCGACAGTCGTCATTGATTCTAACCACCCTGACTAACTCAAAGACAGCGCGTTTTGCCCATCATCAGAGAAACTTTGTAACAGCAGGCACTTGCCTTCCCCAACAACCAGCGATATTGGTAAATCTATATAACAATGCCAATGCGTCGTCAACTTGAGGTAGTGGTAGGACTGCTGCTGAAACGATTACTCATAATGATGATGATAATCCTGCTGGGGTAGTAGTGGTAGGAAATGTTGTAGAAGGCGCGGTGATGACGTGAAGGGGGCAAGCTCTTATTAGTAGTCGACGATGATGAAGTTTACGTTACGACAGTCAAGTCGGATGAAAAAGGGAAGAGTTATGCCTCATCCTCGTCGTCGTGATGATGATGCTTGGACTTCTTCTTTTTCTTCTTCTTTTCGACGGCCTGAAGCAGAACACTGAAACTCTCAGCCGGTGGGTTTATCTCACTTCCTCATCAGCCTCCTCGGCCTCCTCAACTTCCTCTACAGCACGCTTCTTGTGATGCTTCTTCTTTTCTAAGGCCAAGAGCAGTAATGACGATTCGACCTCTAAGCTATCTCACCTTTCTTCACCGGCTCCTCCTCTTCCTCAGAGACTCCTCCTTGGGAGACTCCTTCTTGTCCTCAGCAGGGCACCGGTAAGCTTAGAATCATACCCTCATGCTTCACCAGGACTCAGAGTGTTTTCGTTGGGTCTATGACATGTCAAGTCCTCAAACAACATCACAGAGTCTTCACTCACCTTCCCTTCTCATCCAACTTGCCGTTGAGGATGAGCTTCTTCTTCTCAGAGGCCCTCGGGCCATAACCCCAACGGGAATCATAAGTGTCGCGCTCCATAATGACACGCTTGATAGTTGCCACACAACCTAACCGAGACAGAATCATCCTCGACATACCAATGGGGCCGATCGTGCTTACCATGGTCAACACTAGCGATGACAGCCGTGGTCATCTGAGCGATGCCCAAGGCGACCGCCTCTCCCTTCGTGGTCATCAACACTACGTCCTTGCCGACCTCGATACCATTCTCGAATCGGAGGACCTGAGGAAAGACGTCAAGAAGGATCTACCCGATCCGAGCATATGCTTACACCAACAACCATCAACTTAGCACCATAGCAGACAGCGTTGACAGCAGAGTCCTTGAGGACGATACGGGGATAGGAGACGAGGATGCGCTCTGAAAGGGCTCATCAATGGACTCCGCAAAAGGATAGGGGCTGCTGCTCACCAAGGGGCATGATAGTACGTCTGAGGTACTCCTCGGATCTAGTGCTCTCGTAGACATACCTAATGCAATCGGTATGATAGGAAGTCCCAAAAGGAAGAGTGGCTACTGAGCATCGAGCAAGTCATGCATGGTGACGAGCTGATCTTGCTCCCCGAGATTTCCAGACCTCACACGTCTCAGCTCCTGCATGTGGGCACCCACACCGAGGAGGAGGCCCATATGGACACAGAGGGTTCGGATATAGGTACCTGGTTACGTATACTAACAGTGCATATTCGGCGACTGAAAAGACTCACCGGCCTCACAGGAGACGTGGAAGACGGCCATGTGCTTCTCCTCGTCATAGTCGAGCAGCTTGGACCAGTAGATGGTACGGATACGGAGCTGACGCTTCACAGCTAAGGCATGAGGGTGATATGATACACGTATGGTGCGCTCGAGGTCCTACCAGCAATGACTGGGGGCCTCTGGAAAAGGGCACCAGTGAGCTGATCCAAGGCTCGAGTGATAGCAGCCTCTCCACCAGGGTCAGCGTGGAAGCGGACCACACAGACGTACCTTGACGCACAATATTGGTTCCTAGGGAATCTCAGATGTATATTACTCTTTTCCCGCGCCTTGTTGGGCTTTCACGAGACGGGTGGCACGGTTGAGGCATACGAGGAGGCAGCCAGAGACCTAACAATGAGCAGTAGTGACGGATACAACATAGAGGGGAATTACCTTAGGATCGAGAGTGCCAGAATGACCAGTCTTCTCACACTTGAGGATGCGCTTAATCCAAGCAACGACCTCATGGGAGGAAGGGTTGACCGGCTTATCAAGGTTGCATACGCCGTATAGCAAATGCTGGTCGAGAGGACTACACCGAAAGATAACACGTGAATAGCTATGGACATCCCCATACGAATCACAGCGTGTAAATTTGCATCATACGCTTTGAGGAGCACACCTAGAGCCTATTGCTCCCCATTGACAGTAATGAGGAGCCCAATAGCGAAGTACTCGGTAGAGTCTGGCGTGTCACCAACGACTAGTCCGACTTCCCACCCTACCGATTGAGTGGGGAGCAGCCGAAGGGCAGAGGAGTGTAGTGTCCGGTGCGCACGTTTAGCCTGTCGTAGTTCTTCAGCAGAAGGGGCCACTCCGAGGTGTTGATCGGAGGGCTCACGCTGGAAGGCTTTATCATGCAATCCGTAGATTTCTGGGCCTCCGCAGTAGAAGAGGCGGCGACAGCAGCAGTAGGAGCTTCCTTCTTAGTCTTAGCCATACTACCGACAACAACAGCAGCAGCAGATATACTAAGAATGAGGAGGAGTCGTAGTGAGGCCGACCAGAATTATCCAATGTTTTAGCAACACACACACGCTGGCTTGCTGCTGTGACTATAGAAGGCCGAAGGGAACGCAAATTTTGAGCGGAGCGAAGCGATTTTTGTTCTGAAATTCATGATTTGCGCTATCAACTTTGCCACTGCGAGAGATCCCCGGTTCGATCCCGGCACGTGTCGACTGAATAACACGACAGGCAAAAACTGTGAACAGCAATTATTGTTGGTAAATATTTTGACATGTCAGCCACTTACGACCCAACTGAGGCATGGACCACCGACTACGACGGAGTAGTCTCCTCTATACTCCAAGCATAATGAGGCGCCAATATACGCCTCCTTGAGGAGCATCTCACCATCAGTTGTCAAGAGGCCATCAAGCAACTCATTCCGGACTAGCTGCCTCATCGAGTGAAGAGAGAGTAATGAAGCCCGTCTGATGGACGTCCAGCTGCCGCCACAACTGCTTAACACTGCGAGTGAAGCTCAACTGAAGAGAGGACAGAGGAGTCGGCAACTATTAGCATTTGGACTACGAGCTGACTGACGTTTGATCAGTGATTTTGAAAAAACATAGAGCTGTATAGACTGAAGGTCGGAAGGGTGGTCTCTCAAACCATAGGATATGGGTTCGATTCACTCCGAGCATACTTACCTCTCTAGCGACCCGACAGAACTTCGTAAAAGGTATCTTCCCCTCTCCCTCCACATCCAAACTGTACCGCCAAGCGTTGCTCAAACTGCCATGCCTGAATCGAATACACTCGCGTGCCCGACTCCCGTGCTGGTTCCATGGTAGACGTCGTGCATCACTCACCTCAACACGAGCTGCTCCTTGAACTTATTCACCACGCTCGTGCCTACCATGTCCATCGTGGAAGACTTCAGACTGGTCTTGCCGAATATGAACTCCCGAGATCTAAGTAAGAGCATGGAACAATTAGCTCGGACAACGGGCAGAGAAGGAGAACAGCGAAATGCTGCCTCCCATACCTTCGCGACTGGTCTGCAAGTTCTTCAAGGCCGATGAAGGAGCTTCCCTGTAAAGTTTGGAAAGACTCCTCCCACGTGGCTTTCAGGCGATCGACTTTCGCTTGCATTTCTTCCAAGGATGGCTCGTAATTATCATGGTACCTACGCCACTCAAGGTCTTCATTGTTCGTTGTATACGGCCGAAGCTTCACCATTGCTCCCACTGTCCAACCTGCCCACGTAACTTCTCCACTTCTCGTCTGGCAACCACCAGCTCTGCAGATGGGCTTTGCGTTGCCGCCATGTTCTCGAGCTACAAAACCTCAGATGACTGCCATCGTGGCAACTCGGGGAGAAGCCACCTCTGGTTTCGCTTCCTGCCCTGCTCCTCTGGCATCTCGGAGCTCATCTCTAAGATGTCTTACTTCATCTTCGTGTTCGGCCCGCTCCTGGAAGAGGGTCGATCTGCAAGGCTATATTGATCTCGGATTGCACCCACTTTCTCCATCTCGAGTTTGAGTTCATCTATCTCGGCCTGTGAGGCACTGACCCTTTC